GTGGGGGAAGTACATTATTTCTCTCCCTATGCCCACTGCCAGCTCTGAGTTCCCTGTTTGCTCCCCTGCCCCCTCCAGCTGCAAATATTTCCTCCTGGTGCATGGAGAACTCAGACTGGCCCATCCCCAAGCACAGCCCTGTAAGAGCAGCGAAGGAGAAGCTGCCAGAACGCCGCAGAAGAGGGGAATCTTAGGTGCATGGAGCTATGAAACTGTTAGAGCTGTTTTAAAGTTGGGGGGAGGAATTTCAAACACTGTGCAATGGTGTTTTTTTTTTTTTCCATCCCAAAATTTGAAAAGTTTCAACCTGCTTTATAGTTGGTCAAAAATATAGGGAGACACCGCTGTTTCCCCACCCCCATGGTCAACAGTAGGGGGAGGGGAAATAGTTGAAATGTTAATAAATCCTTCCCATATATTTATCAAATTTCATCCAGCTCTAGAAACTGTGACACTTTTCTTTGTTTACTGGGCTTTTCAATGTCTAAAAATTAGGCCTGTGTGGAGAGATGGAAGCCATTTTGTTTTCTGCGTTGCTGCAGAATGAACAGAGAAGGCGCACACACTGCTCTCTCTTAAACTTACTCTTGTTCGTTCTTGTGGCATTTTTCCCCTCTTTGTCTAAATTGAGTGATTCTGACTGTAAGTAGATGGTGGTTCTTTGAGTATGGGAAAATATATAACAAGCTCCATCTTGAGGATAGATATGTTACTTCCCCTCCCCTCCCTTTATCCTAACCATCTTTACTTACTGTGTGTATTATGATGAATCTTGTGTTTTGATATATTTGTTGTCTTTTGGAAAAAAATAATAAAAATGGTATAAAAACCACACTCTAATGGAGAGTGCAATACATGTCCATATGGGCATCTCTACAGAAGTACATTGGTATCTTTGCCATTCATCAGCATCCCATGCACGCTTGATAAATTAGAGGAATATCAGCTTTTGTAAAGACAGGTATAACTGAGAAGGATCTAGAAATCTGGTGTCTCTCAATTTTGGGGGGCTTAATCTGAGGCCTGCTTTTAGGAGAATGGGCATTCAGCACTTTCTTAAAAACAGGCCTCTCTAACGTGTCTCAAGTTGGATACCCCAAACTGAGGCACTCCAGATCACTAGTTACTTTTGAAAACCTTAACCAAATTTGTTTCATGCAAGTAGGAATAGTTAAAAAAAGGGGAGGATACAGACTCTGTCATGGTACCAAATGTTATAATTGTCATGAGGAAATAACTTAGCACAAGATGTTGGAATGAGCGGACCAAGGCTAAACAAAGCTAATCCTAAACTGGTGTATTTATTATACTGTGTCTTTGTGTGCAAACAGGACTGGTGATGGCTTATGGAAAATAATAAATCTAGCCAAGGATTTCTTTTAAATTCAAACTGTAAATGTTTCTCTGATACATGGGAATAAAATGGGAATCTTTTTTCAGCCTAGTAACAGAATACTGAATGTTCAGACGATAAATGGATGCAAGAAAAGAATCCTCTGGAATGCTGGAATTTTGGGTGATGTATTTTGGTTCTTAAAATAATACAGAATGGCCAGTGTTGGGCTGGCCATGATCCCTGCAGAGGGCTGTGTCACAGACGAGCCTTCTTTTAGAACAAAGAATTTTTGATGTCCCTTGTTGTGCATCTCCTTACAGTTGCCTCAGATCAGAACTGCTGGTTGGTTTTTTTTTTTTTTGCATGAGAAATAACTTATTGTAGAAAGAGGGTGAAATTCACCCCTGTGCAGAGGCCAGGACAAGGCCCCATGTACCATGTGCTAAGGCACATTTAAGCCCTTGAGATAGGATTTAAATGGGACAGATCTAGCCCTCCATAACTGTATGCTACATGCCCCCCTCATTGTCTGAGCCCCAGAGGATATGGCTGCTACAACTGCTAGCTATTGGTGTTACTCCTTTAGCTCCAGCTGCCGAGACTCATGTTCTTAAATTTGGAGATCCTGGGTTCAATCTCCATTGATGACTAAGATGAGTCATTACTGGTTGACCTGCTGGGGCGGAGACCCCCTGTACAGGGCTCGTATGCTGCTTCCCTCGCTGTACATCAGTGCGGCTCCATTTCAGTTCGGCTCCACCGTGGGGAAGGGGTTCCTGAGACTAACCAGAGGAACCACTGCACATCTGGGGTGTGAGTGCAGTTGTACTAGAACACTTTGGAACAGCGTCTAGTGTTCAGAGTTCCAAAGAGAGAGCTGTACAGAAGTTGTTTGCAGGGCACAACAGAAATTTTTATTGGTCATACAAAACCCAGGGGCCTCTGCTACACGTTTTTCATTGCCGTCTACCAGCACTTCATCATAAACTATTGACATATATGCAGCTATAGAGCACTCTCGGAATATTAAACAGTAACCATAGGAGGTGGAAGTGTAACACCAACAGACCCCGGTCGTCATTGAAACTGGGACCTCTGGAGCTAAATGCATGAGCCTTACTGCATGAGCTAAAAGCCCCATGGCTCTTAGCTAAGGCTGTAGAGCAAACTCATTAATCTCTCTCAAAGTGCTCTCAGTGCCACTAGATGGGACAGAGCACCACACCCAGGAGGTGTGTGGGTTACATAAATTCAAGGTCACAGTAGTGACAGCCCTCATACTGCCTACTCATTCGTCTGGCAGCGGGGCGCTGAATGGGGGAGGTTGACTAACAGGACAGCAATGGCTCTGCAGCATGTAGAAACCTCTCTCCAGGTACATCCTAGGCTGGAGCTCTTGCAGCTAGGGAAAGAGGCAGCATGGCTGGCCAGAGAGGGGTAAGGGATGAAGAGTGGTTGCCTTCTGTGGCACTGTGTCCTTACTCTACAATATCCACTAACAGTGCTGGAAGATCATCCTGACTCTGTCGTTTTCCCCAGCTTTCTGTCTCGAAGTCCCTCTATTCATGTCTCCTTTTCCCCATCTCTCCCTTGCATTCCCCATCCCTCATAGCATAGTAGGATCTGCCAGAAGGATCCTGTGCTGTTTCCCAATTGCTCATAGGGCTGGTAGGGAACCTAGGAGAATCTTTGCTACTTATTAATAAACATAAAAGCTTAAGTTTCAATCTAACTATCAAAAATGAATATGAAAACAGGAACTTTTGTCTCTGGAGTATTACAAAATGTTGCTTTAATATATTCACATTTCTAAATATTTTACAGAGCCTGAAGATGATTCTGTTGTACAAATCCTACAAGCCAGTTTCTTACAGAATTACTTTTAAAAACAGAACGATACAACTATTTGTAGTGTGTTACTTTTGACATTCAGTGGCTGGGAAAAAATGAGGCACGTTGGGAGCAGAGCAACTCTTTAAATCTGAATTTCCTTACCTGGGTAGATTTCAGTTAGCGCTCCAGTGCTATTTGACCATTTGATCCTTATATGCTATAATGCACAACAGTTTGCCCTGACATATGCATGGAGTCTTGGGGCTTGATCCAACTCCTATAGAAGTCAATTGAAAGATTCTCATTGACTTCAATAGGAGTTGGTCAGACTTTTGGTCCACATGTATTTCTTCAAATGGGGATGAATTTGATATTCTAGTACAGTATATGAAATATTTCTGTTTTTCCTTTTATATACTTCATGTATAAACATAATGGCCTGGGCCTAATTCTTTTTTCATGATCCCATACTTTTTTGGGGAGTCAACAGGACTACTGTTGTGAACAAGGATCTGAGACATGGTCTATTCTTCTACCCTTTGTCTATACTACCCAGCTTTTAGTGACCTGGCCGTGTCGACACAGCCGTGTTGCTAGAAGTCGGGCAGTGTAGCCACTGTATGTTGGCTCATTTGCCGACAAAATACTTCCACCCCCAACGAGCAGCATTCGCATTGTCAGCAGGAGAGCGCTCCTGCCGACAAAGCGCTGTTCACAGTGGCACTTTCCGCAGCAAAACTTTTGTCTTTGGGGGGGAGGGGTTAAAACCTCTGAACGACAAAAGATTTGCCGTTCAATTGCTATGTCTACACTAGAGAGTTTACAGTGGCACAGCTGTGCCACTGTAAGTTCTCCCATGTAGCTGCTCTATGTGGATGGGAGAGAGCTCTCCTGTCAACATAATTAAACCACCCCCAACGAGCGGCAGTAGCTGTGTTGGCGGGAGAAGCTCTCCCACCAACATGGCGCTGTGCACACTACCATGTATGCTGGTGTAATTTATGTCTCTCACGGGAGTGGTTTTTTTCCCCACACCCCTGAGCAATATACGTTTTGCTGACAAGTGGTAGTGTAGACATGGCCTTAGACAAATTCTTCTGCTGTCTACCCTCCCTCTCCCCCCAGGGTAATTTATTGTCCTCTCATGGACACAGATGTAAATCAGGTGTTAATGACCTCAGCCATAGTGTAAATCTGGTGTGAGATCAGAATCAGGCCTTAAGAATCAAACAGTTTCAAAAGCGTCAGTGTTGGCCTAAAAAGGAGCAGAGCAGATTTAAGTCAATAGTAAAACTTCTGTTGATTTTCATGGGAGCTGGGTTAGGCCAATGCTGCAGGCCTTTGAAAATCCCACCTTTGATTTACATTAGGGATATTTGGATTTTCTTCTCTTCTTCAGAGGAAGGTGCCCGACTCAAGCTACAATGTAGGGTACAAGTGAAGATGGACTTCTAGGATTCGGGCACTAGTATTAAACATGTTACATGACTAAGAAATTCTGCCTTGTTGATTATGGAGTTTTTGTCCTGGATTCAGAAGAACCTAAGAACGGCCATATTGGGTCAGACCAAAGGTCCATCTAGCCCAGTATCCTGTCTTCCGACAGTGGCGCATGCCAGGTGCCCCCGAGGGAATGAACAGAACAGATAATCATCAAGTGATCCATCCCCTGTCGCCCATTCCCAGCTTCTGGCAAACAGAGGCTAGGGACATCATCCCTGCCCATCCTGCCTAATAGCCATGGATGGACCTATCCTCCATGAATGTATCTAGTTCTTTTTTTAACACAGTCTGGCAAGAAGTTCCACAGTTGACTGTGCGTTGTGTGAAAAAAAATACTTCCTTTTGTTTGTTTTGTTTGTTTGTTTGCTGCCTATTAATTTCATTTGGTGACCCCTAGTTCTTGTGTTATGAGAAGGAGTAAATAACACTTCCTTATTTACTTTCTCCACACTTTTTGCTTTGGTGCTTTGTAAGATAACAGCAATACTTGTTTTTCAACCTTTTTTGTTTGTTTGTTTTGTTAAAGTAGGCCTTTGCCTTTTGTTTGGATTTTTCCAATTTAGCAACTGTCTGCAAGTAGACCTAATTTAAACGTTTTTGCAGATTTTGCAGGTAGGCAGTTATTTTTTTTATTTTTTTTAAATTGAGTGCCACTAGTGTGCCAAATTAAATCATGAGAGTGTTCCACTTACGCCTACTGGTATTAACCAGTTTTTTAAACATTACTTTTAGAGTTCGATTGGTTTGTTTCACCATCCTAGATGACTGTGGTTTGTATGGCATGTGTAGTTTTTGCAGGACTTTCATTAATTTAAAGCAGTTCATAAAGAACTGTCCAGTAAAATGTGATTCCCATTGAGAGAAGACTTGCTTTACTAGGACCCTCGCTGTGCCTTTTGCAGTATTGGCCTTTAGAGGAAATGCCTTTACCCATTTTGAAAAAGAATTGACAACCACCAAGAGGTATTGGTTGCCTTTTTGAGTCCTTGGCAAAGGACCTATGAAGTTTATACACCTGAGATTAAAAAAAAAAATTCCATCTAGGACAATTACTGGAGGATAATTATTTTATTTTATACTTTTTTTTATATACTTCATGCATTGAAATCTAACAGTATGCAGTGTGTGTTAAATTGCTGTTTCTAAACCAATAAACATTTAGGTCTAATATTTACTGGCTGAAATTCATTCTTTAAGGGAGATTTTTTTTAAATAACGTGTTTGCCAAAGAAATGAATTTCTTCACATTAAAACCAGATAAATATATATTGCACCCTATGGAGACATTCCTCCTCTCTGAGCTGAACTGTTACTCAGTGCAAATGTCTATCACATATTGTGATATAGGCATAATACACTGAGCTTCATGTGCGTAATCATGTCTCCCAGTAGTCGCTAGTCCCGTTGAATGTAACAGCCTGCTGCTAACTAATTGAGATCTCCTTTAACACAAGCGTTAGACACGTGTGGTTTTGGTACTGAAGATCCTTGGTTTGATCCTCACAAACAACCGTATTGCTTAGGCAGCTGTCATGAGCTCCATAGATCTGTGTGAAGTTACTGTTTTTTGAGATCACTAATCTAATCCTGTTCACATTGGAATGAGTGGGAGATTTGCAATTGACTTCAAAGGGAGAAGGGTCAGACTTTGTTTTTCACTGGTCCTGGGTCATGTGCGTTCACTTCCCTTGAGTTTAGCTTTAGGAGTTGAACTGCCTCAAACCTGTTATGACAAAGCAAAACCCAAAACCAAAGAGATGGGTTTTGCTGAAGCATGTGGGTTTGGGAAGTTTTGCAAAGGTGTATGAGGAGTCACCCTGCCTGTCAGCTGTGATGAGATCCCCAAGTGCTGGTATACAAATGACCATTAAACCATGATCCGCAGCCTTGGCATGGGGAGTGAGAGGATTCTCCTTATCCAGAGGCACCAAAAAGCTGGCTTAGCATTTCAGTGAAAAGTTTGTAGTGCCCAAAAGAGTTTTGGCTGGTTTAAGTTCCACAAACCTTAACCTAGCAGTTTTACGTGATTCTCAGCTTCTGATGAGCAAGATTTCACAGTTCTGCATGAGAATGGAACAAGTGCAAAATGTGACATTCTCTTCTCGGTTACTTTGTGACTGCAACCCCAAGAATGATGCTGGTGCGACTGAGAGCAGATTAAAAGCTGGTTTAAAATCCACAGTTAAATCAAAGCCAAGAATTTGACCTTTCATTTCTCCATGTTTTCAGTGTAGCACCTGATTTGATTTCTCATTAAGTCAGTGCGTGTGCTATGCTTTAAATTGCTGGCTAAACTTTTGTCTGCGGAAGCAACAAAATGCACCCAGTCCAATGATGATCACTGATAAAATTAATGCAACCGTTAGTATAATAAGCAAGTTAATTTTCTTTAGATCCTCTTTTTCACAGACTTCTGGTCTTATGTTGCTAATATAAATTTCTTCTTGGTACCCAAAGCTCTTGGAGTACTGGCATGTTATCTGCTCTACACCAGGGATCGCTACATTTTTCTTCTGGATCATAGATGAGAGCCAGACATTTCCACAGCAGCTGAGTGGGTTCCCAGCAAGATATAAGTTTTTAAGAGAGTTCTCTAATGCTAAAATGTTACTGCTCTGTAGATTACAAAAACTGTTTTTCCGTAGATCTAGAACTTCCAGGGAAGCGTCACTACCCCACTTGGGTAGCCAGCTCAGTTGATTTTCAGACAGGTTTAAATGTTTAAGGTGATGAAAACGAGGCAGGTCGATATTTAAAACGGTCATGCCATTGCCATGTAAATTCAAATACTCAAGAGATGTCTCCAGTCCTGATAATGCGTTAGCCTCTATTTTCAGTCCTTTGTTCATGGAGAGCTCCAGGAGAATTAGTGAAGTCTTGTAAAAAGCATACACTGGTAAGTTCTTCAACATGTTGTCAGCTAGGTATAAGTACCTAAGAGCAGGGAAGTCAACAAATGAAACACAACCATTCTCCTCGCCAGTAAGCCTTTGTTTAGCTAATCCTGAATACATGCTGCAAAAACTAATATTATTACTCTGGAGATTAATCAATTTGATGCTGGGAAGGCTTGCGAAGATATCAAATTGCAGGGCCTGGAGATGATTGTTTTGAATGTAGAGCTCCTGTAAATTAGTCAATATGCTGGCATCTAGTAAGAGATTCTGCAAAGCATTGAAGCTTAAATCAAGGATGGCTAGTGAGATCAATGCACTATCATAATTTACTGCAAACGTCTGGAGGCAATTTTTACTGAGATTAAGAAACCGAAGCGAGGACATTGACTCAAAGAACTCATTTGGGATGGCTTTGATCTCATTATAACTTAAGTCTAAATATAAAAGCTGGGATAGATACAGAGAACTTGTGTTTGTATTTTGCTTCTGATCCAGAAGATGAAAAGGAGCTTCCAGCCAGTCCCTTTCCATATAGTACACCTCATCGTGAGCAGAGTCTGCAGTAAACTGCATTAAATTCTTAGATAAATTCAGATACGCCAGCTTGTTCACCTGGGGGAAAACTGGGAAGCGCAGTAGCTTGTTCTCACTAAGATCCAGCCACCTCAGGTTATACTCTTCCTTTGACTCTGTAGCATGAAAAGTCTCAATGCTGTTCCTACTGAGGTCGAGTATCTGGAGTTGTCTGAGGCTGAAATCTGAGATGCAAGTGATGGAGTTCATGGAGAGATTGAGCTTGGTGAGATGCACCAGAGTTTCAAAGGCACCTTCTTCTATTTCCATGATGATATTACTGTGGAGGTCAACCTCAACAAGAGCCGGAGACCCCTGAAACATCCTGTGTAATATCACGGTAATGCTGTTTTCTGCCAAGGAAAGATACTGAAGTGATGGTGCTTTGTGTATAAAATATTCAGCCATTCCATTGTAGAGTCTGTTGTGGGACAAGTCCAATGTTCTGATCTCTGGTAAAAGTCCAACTCCTGGTGTCCTATGCTGAGCCAACTCATCTAACTGGTTATTGGCTAAAATGACCTCAACCAGGCTTGTCATGTATGTGAAGACGCCGGGCTCAATGAAGCTTATTTGGTTGGATCTTAAATCCAAATGCTGGAGCGAGGTGTAAAATGTCAGGGGCTTCTCAGAGAGATTTCTTATCTCATTTCCAGACAAATCTATTTTATTTATGTTTGGATGGAGCTCTGGAGGGATTTGGTGAAGCTCTTTGCCATGACAAAATGCCTTCATCTTTACCTGCAGAAAAGAAAGAGAACAGGGAGTCCTGGTTACCACCTATGGGATGCTCAATGGCTTTTCATCAAGTATAAAGACAACATAATATTCAGAATCTGATTAAATTCCTTTTCTTGGAGATTGGTCGTACTATGCTGTTCTCTATTCAGGCGACCAGAAGCCCGAATTTCTTCACAACGTAGGGTGGGTTTTCATTTCATTTCAATGGAGATACTCCTGCCTTATACTGCAATAAGAGTTCCCATGTAGGGAGTTATACTGGTATAACTACAGCAGTATCATTGTATCGGTATAATTATGTCAGTAAATTCCCCCACGTAGATTAGCCCTAAGAGAGAAAAGAATTGGGTTCTTTGATTTTTGAGATCTGGCGTCTTAAAAATTCAAGTTGGAGAGGCTCCATTATATCGTCTAGCCCATCATAAAGAATCTATGATCCTCTAGCCAGCACAGGATTAGTCCACTTTGTACCTTTCATCCAGTCTAGTTTTAAAAGTCCTGAGTGATGGGTCCAATCACTTCCCTTGAGACTATTCCATTGTCTATTAGACCTTGCACTCAAACACTTTTTCCTGATATTTATGCAGCCTAAACTTCCCTGGCATAATTTCATCCTTGCCCCATTGTACCTCATAATAAACCAGATTCTGCCACTTTGCCTTAAATTAATAAGTATGATTAATAATTAAAGTCTAAAATAAGTATTAATATCTATTACAAATAATTAAATTAATAATACTCCATAATTAGCTCCATTGACTTCAGTGGGATTACTCTCAAAGTAAGGTACTACTCATTGAGAGGAAGTAGATTGGAATCCAGCCCCAAATAAACAATCCCTCTTCTTATTTACACCCTTCAAATAGTTGTAGACTGTGATCACATCTCCCCGTAACCATTGTTTAGCTAAGCAATACGTCTTTCAATCAGTGCCTCCGCTCCCAAAACATTGCAACAGCTCACCTCAAACTCCCTCCAGTTTATCCAGACCTCTGTCCATCTATGTTTATACTCTCTCCAAGGCAACAGCTTCTTTCTTTTGGCCCCGTGAGCAGTGCTGTGCACACTGTTCCGTGTGGAATAGAAGGAATGCAGCAGGGAAATGGCATGGGGGGGGGATTCATACATGCTGCAGCTCTCACGGGTACAGCTCAGGGTGAAATGGTGATGCGTAAAGGGTGTGGCCTTTTACAGGATGCTTTAACGCAGCTGGTAAATTAATACCCATACAACAAAGTCAATTTCTTCTCTTGGATGTGTGGGTCTGAATGCAGCTGATAGGGAGCTTCAAGTATGCATCCAAGGGCAAAAAATGAACCATAATTTGCAAGGAATTTTGGGAGCACTGGGCTAAAAGGCCTAGTGTAAGGCACACACATTGTGCTGTTAAAATTAACATCCAGCAGCAAGATTGGAGCAGAGTCCAGAATGCTTGGTAAGCATCTAGGCTATCTAAATAGGTATCTATCTATTCACGTAGCTCATGGGATCCTCTGGGTCAAACTGCTTGCTGACTCCTTCTAATTATTCTTATACGGAGAACTAGTAGCTAACCGTCATAAAGCAAGGCTCTGTGTTAGCTCTTCAGAAGTTAAAACAAAAGACTCTCCTCCAAACATCTGTTTCACACAAGCAGGGAGGGGAGGGGGAATAAAGCCTCAGGGATGTTTACGAGAATCTGGGTAACATCCAGTGTTTTGTGAATCACTTGCGCATGTGAGGAATGGAGAGTGCACATTACCGGATGTGCGGCTTGTCATAAATATGCCAGACAAATGAAACCCCTCAGCCAGAGCTGGACTCCAAGTCTGCTGCTACACCCAGTCTGCTGCGCGGTGCTCCCCTCGTGGCAAAGCTCTCTGAGAGCTCCCACGTGACTCGCATCTTGAAATTTGAACCCCAAGTCCAACCAGAGCAGCTAAATCCCCAGTAAGGGGAAAGGGAGTTGCATCCTGGCTTCTCTGAGCCATTAGCGCCTTCCCACCGAGATTTTAGAGTGGCTCACTTGAGCTGAAAGGTGACCAGAGGCCCAACGAATCTAGCAGGGGGGCAGGGAGGAGGCCTTATTCAGTCAGCTAAGAAGAGGTGGGGAGTGGGAAGAAGAAAACTCAGGAGCCAGAAAGAAGCAGCATTTGCATCAGCACAAGAAATGACAAACTCCCTCCCTCGTGTAGGGCCTGATCCTGTCAGGAGCTGAGCACCCTCCGCTCCCAATGCAGCACTCACCACCACAATGAAGGCCTGATCCAATTCACTTTGACATCAAGGAGAGCCCTTTCCATTAACTGCAGTGGGAACTGGGTCAGGCCCAGCCTGCTCGGTACCTTTCAAGATTGGGCCGTTAGTCCAGCCTGTCAACCCTGCAGCCCCTAAACCGGCTTGATGATCAAGTCCACACCTGCCACGGTTCTGCTGCTCTTTACAGTAACTTCGTTTTCCTCTGTAGATTTCACTTTTCTCTCTCGATCACTCCTTCACCTGCGCCCCTTCTCTCTACCTGCTGTCCTTTCCCCCTCGCCTCATCTCCGCTCTCCCTGTCCCTTCCCTCAGCCCTTGAACTGCCCCTGCTGCACCCACATTTCTCTTCCCTGCTACACAGAAAAGGTGCAATAAAAGGGGGGAAATCTGTGGGTAGGAGTGAGGACGGAGCATCAGTTCTCATCATACCCTTGCTTTTCCTACCCCTGTGGGCTTTCGTTAAACTCACGAGCCAACTGCATGAGCATTAGCAAAGCTGTCCTCTTCTGGGTTCGCATTCCTTCCTCCTCAGCTCTGGCAGCTGTTCGTATTAAAGTGCAGTGGCCTGCAGTGCTAAGAGTGGGAACGCCTCTTGCTGCTTTCAGCGTCTGCTCCACATAGAAAAGGAGGTTATTAGATCAAAATGGGCCCAACCGCTCTGAAGTACGGGGAAGTTTGGATTCTGAATCCAAACTCTGCCACTCAACTGTAGCTGGTAATTTTCGGGGATGGAGCCAGCAGCCGCCCTCTCTTTAGCAAAACTAAAACCAGGGTGGTTTGGATCTAGGTCCCATCGCATCCTAAACGCCAACGTTTGGGTGTTTGAACACAGGGCTTTGGGCTAGATCCTCAGCTTGTGTAGATTGGTGCTGATTTACAGCAGCTGAGAATCTGGCCCTTTGTCTCTTCTCTGCAATGGCTAAAGAAGGGATTTGGGGGGGGTTGATTTTGAAAAAAACTCATTAACCGACTTGTGATGTTGCCAAACTAAAACCAGTCGTGATTCAGAGCGGGGTCCAGTTTTATGAACCATCAGTCTTCAGGATGGGCTGGATAAAAGATTCCAGCTCTGGCCTTCCTCTAGTCTAAAGATTCATCACAGGAAGAGTGATGTGTGAAACAATGCCATTGCAGTGAAACATCCCATTGTGAAATAACAGGGAATGCCAATGGCTCTCGCTATCACAATTAACCTGGGCTGAACTGTGTTAGAATTTGCACCCTGTCTTATCTCCCTGGGCCAGATTCTCAGCCAATGCAGACCTGTCTAACTCCATTGAGCTTAACGGGGCGGTGTCAATTGACACAAGAGGAGAACCCTGCTCTGGGACTCCAGAGTGTTTTGTCAGCCTCGAATGTTTCCCAGTTGCACTAAACAGCTCCAAACTTTTTTGGACTCTTTCTTTGCCTATGCAGCTGAATGCAGTTTACAGTGGGGTTGCGGAAATCAGCCAATATTTACTTCTCAAGGAATCAGCTTGATCTACGACTTATCCAAACAAGGGCAGGGGGTAAGCCCTTATTAGATGTACGGTGTGTTTCATCCTGAGTTCGCATGTCTGGGATGCCTGGGCCCAAAAGTGTCATGTTTACAGTGGTTTCATCATTTCTTCCTCTCCGGCCAATAAGCGAGAGATCCAGCCACCTTCCCAAGTTCTTTTTGTATGCTAGACCCTAATTTCCCTGAATTCAGGAAGTGCATTAGTACAGCAGGAAAGGAATGAGTCCCATAAGGGAGATCTGCACAGCCAGCAAATTATTCTTTTCCCTAGTTTGGAAATTCTTGGGGATTTGTGCCGAACAGCTTCAACATTTAAAGAAGTAGATGAGTATTTTTAAACTCCCCTTTACCGTCAGCTGTATCTGGATAAAGGGAAGGAGGGAGAGGAAAACCAGTTCATCTGTGAATAACATGAATAAGATGTTTTAAAAAAAAAATCTGTGGGACAAATCGCACTTTGGAGACAGAGGTTTTGTCTCTAAGTGGGCCTGATTCTGATCTCACACCCAGCATAAATCAGGAACAACTCCACTGAAGTCTGTGTTAAACCAGTGTAAGCGAGGGGAGAATGGGGCTCACTGTCACTATAGGGGGAGCAGTGGGGTTCGTTCATGTCACAGAAGAAGTTCCTTTTTTAAGAAAGTATCGCCTTGTGTGTAAGACACTGGAATGGGACTCAGGAGATATGGGATCTTCCTGGCTCTGCCACAGACATCCTGTGTGACTCTGGGCAAGTCCATTAATATTTCTGTGCCTCCGTTCCCTAGCAATAAAATGGGGATAATAATCCTTCCTTTCTCCCACCTTATGCTTGTCTTGCCCACGTAAGGTCTGTCTGCACAGCAGCTGAGAGGTGTAATTCCAGTTCTGCTAGAGATACATGTGCTGGCTCTGTGCGAGTGTAACCCACACACCTCCTGGGTGTGGTGTTCTGTCCCCGTCTGGTGGCACCGAGACCACTTAGAGATTAATGAGACTGCTACAGCTACATGTGGTGTTTAGCTCATGCTGTAGTGGCTCATGCATTTAGCTTCCCAGGTTCAATCCTGCCCTCTGACAACCAGGGTCTGTTGGCCTTACATGAGCTAGTGCGCTAAAAAAGAGCAGTGCGGTTGTGGAGGCACGGGCAGCAGCACAGGATTGCACAGGGGTGGCTAGCCCAGGCCACATTGCTATTTTTAGCCCACTGGCTTGAGCAAAAGTAGCACATGTACTTCTACCCAAGCTGGGAATCACACCTCCCAGCCGCTGTGCAGACAGACCCTTAGATTTAAGCTCTCTGCAGCAGAGACTGTCAGTTACTATATGTTTGTGCAGCACCTGTATCATCGGGGTCCCAGTTTCATTTAGGGCCTCTGGGTGCTACTAGAATGCTACTAATAATAATTAAGGAGAGACGTGAAAGAGGAGATGGCTCCTCCTTGGGGAATCTCTTACCATTTCACAGGGTGACTCTTCCAAGGGCCGATGGCTTGAGATCCCTCCGTTCGCTGCCAGGAAGAGTAAAAAATACAGTTTCATGGCTCTGCAGGGAAAAGCAAAGATGGGTTCAAGCTAAACCTGGTGTTAAGTCCATGCAGCCACTGGACAGCAGGGTCTGCACCAGCGAGTGGAACTGGGACTTGCATACATAATAGAATAGCAAAGCCCTCTGGCCCATTCCAGCAGAGAAGGGAGTGTTATGAAGTAGGAGAGATGGCAGGAAAGCTCGCAGACTGAACGTTTCTATGGCTTGCCCATTGTGCTGCATATCTTAGATCAGGGGTGGCCAACCTGTGGCTCCGGAGCCACATACGGTTCTTCAGAAGTTAATATGTGGCTCCTTGTATAGGCACCGACTCTGGGGCTGGAGCTACAGACGCCAACTTTCCAATATGCCATTGCTCAACCCCTGGCTCCGCCACAGGCCCTGCCCTTACTCCACCCCTTCCCGCCCTCTCCCCTGAGCAGGCCGTGCTCTCGCTCCTCCCCCTCCCCCCGAGCCTCCTGTACGTCACGAAACAGCTGATTGGGAGGTGCAGGGAGGGAGGGGGAGGCGCAGATCATCGGGGCTGCTGGTGGGTGGGAGGCACTGAGAGCGGGGAGGAGGGAGCAGATGGGGGGCTGCTGACGTATTACTGTGGCTCTTTGGCAAGGTACCTTGGTAAATTCTGGCTCCTTCTCAGGCTCAGGTTGGCCACCCCCGTCTTAGACTGTTGGCCAGATTTTCAAACACCATAGCACCCGCTAGCTCCCACTTACGCACCTTACGCGAGTGACCAGGCTGTCAAAAGTGCTTCACATTCAATAGCTCTCTTGTTCTCAAGGCAGCTAGTGGATGATCATTGCCCTTGTAAACCTGGCCCTATCACTCCTTTATCTTCACCTGCGCACACTGGTGGTGCTCAACAAATGACATGATTATAATAGTCTCCACTTTTATAGCACATCTCATCCCAGGACCTGGAAGAGCTTCACAAACTATTTAATGAAGTCACACAAGACCCTGGCAAGGTACCATACAATCATAGGGCCAGAGGGGACCATCAGACCATGTAGTCTGACTTGTATATCACAGGTCACCAACACCACCCGGTGCCCGCACAATAACCCAGCAACTGAAATAAGACCACAGGAGACTAGACTATTATGTGCCACAGGCAGAGAATAGGAGGGACCGTGTTGCACCAGTGGCTGAGGCCCCCACAAAGGCAGGGAAATGAGTCTGTGAAATATACCCAGATAGTCCTGGCAAGTGACCCACACCCACATGCCAATTGACCCAGGGAAAGCTTCCTTCCTGACCCCATATATGACAATCAGTTCGACCCTGAGCATGTGAGCAAGAATCAGCCAGCCAAGCACCTGTGAGAGAGAATGCTCTGATCTCAAAGAATACGTCCTTATTACAGCCTCTGTCATAAACATGACAACTCTTTCAGCAAATTCCTCCCTTCTTGAGTTTCTCGAGGCTGAACAGGTGGAGTCATTCATAGATGATGGAACTCCCTTAGCTGAATCAGTGTTTAAAGGATATATTGGCTAACAGGCAAACTGTCTTTGGTGCATCAGTGCAAAGTGGCTCTGGTTGCCAGACGCAGAGTGGTGCAAACAGGTGCACTAGGACAGGGGTTTTCAAACTTTTTCTTTTTGAGGTCCCCGCCCCATGTTATAAAATCGCCAGGGCCCAGCGGGGATAGGTTCAGGGCTTTTAGCTTCAGCCCTGCAGGAGGGCACTAGGCCACGAGGCTTTAGACCCGGGGGGGTGCTGGAGGTTCAGGGTGCTGGGCTTCATCTCCAAGGGGGTACTAGGGCTCGGGGCTTTAGTCCTGCAGGGAGTGCTGGGGCTCAGGGCACCGGGCTTCAGCCCCGCAGCTCTGCTCCTGGTTTCAGCCCCACAGGAGCACCAGGGCTGGGGGCACCAGGCTTCAGCCATGCGGTCCCATGGTCCCGTGAGGGGCCCACGGACCCTTGGTTGAGAACCACTGCACTAAGATGTGAGGCCTGTGAGCTCCCTGGGGAAGTTCTAGCTAACTCCGCCAAAAATCCTCTTTTGGGCTCTAGCCCCCAGCCAGTACAAATCACTTCCCTTTGGAGCATGACATTCACAGTTCTGTTTGCTTGTTCTCTTTGCCACAGCATTGCCCCATAGTTTGGCTTGATTTTTTATACCAATCCCTAGGCTTCCTGTGAGTGCAACTTTGCACGTCCCTCACAACATGAGCAAACAGCAAGGATGGCTCCAGGAAACAGATCCTGGGAAGTTCAGGCCACCTATGACTTGCTCTGTTTTTAGAGCACATTTTCCTCATTCCAGTTGAGTCTGGTGGGGGTGGGGTGGAAATCTGGGAGCGGTAATACCGGTGGGTTTTATTTTAGGCTTGAACACTGCACTGTGATCAAAGGTTCTTAATGTCCTCGGGTGCCTCAGTCTCCCTATCTCTAAAATAGGGACAGTATTCCAGCGGATTTTGTGAAGCTTTTAACTACTGTTGGCAAAGTGCTCCCAAACGCGCCAATGGCAGGTGCTGCTGGCAGAGTGCGCTCCATGAATTCTCTGGAATTCTCCCCGCTCCGTTCAAAGGAGCCCAAATTTGTTGACCTTCAGAACATGCTGCAGGACTCATCTGTGGGGTTGTTTTGGAGTAAGAGTCAAGGGGGAGAGGGGATTATCTGGGGGATCACAGGGTATTAGCTAGTTGGACCTGAAAGGGGAAGAAAGTCTGACATGCATATTTATGATTTGTGATCTTTAAATAAGGGCAAGGCACTCAGAGCTTTGCCTGGGCATCTTTCATATCTAAACAAATAAAAGAAATAATCTCTGCTGGATACTGCCCAACATAGGGCAGTTCTCTATGTATCCTGGGGTCCAGCTCCAAACAGTGCAGCCCTGAGTATTTCCTGTCTGCGATGGACTCCAGCCATTAAACTAGTGCTGCAGGAGAATTTTACCCGGGTGCTTTCAGTAATAATATTTTGCACTTAAAAAGGACGTTGCAAATTCAAAGATCTCAAAGTGCTTCGCAAACTGTAATGAATCACTGCCCTGAACCCAACTGGGAGACTGGACTCTTCCTCCCCTGGTAAAAAGAGGCACAGAGTGGCTAAGTGACTTGCTGAGGGACCTTGGGTAAATCAGTGGCAGAACAAAAACAATGAGGAGTCCGGTGGCACCTTAAAGATTAACAAATTTATTTGGCCATAAGCTTTCGTGGGTAAAAAATTATGCAAAAAAAAGATGTATCTGAAGAAGTGGGGTTTTTTACCCATGAAAGCTTATGCCCAAATAAATCTGTTAGTCTTAAAGTGCCACCAGATTCCTCGTTGTTTTTGTGGATACAGACTAACCCGGCTACCCCCTGATACTATCCATCCTACGTATTTCTAAGGTGCCTACCACATTGGTATCCAAGTGCAGTAGAATCCATTGCTAGTCTCCTGCTCTAACCGCTAGACCACACAGACGCTATCGATTTCAGGGTAGCTAATTGGACAGAATGGTATCAGATCCTCTCTTTCATGAACAACAAATAGATCTGAAGATTCTATTCCTTTGGATCACTTTCAGTTCAAGTGCTTGGAGCTTTCTCCTGCTTTGCATAGTTTGCATCAGTCCAGCTCCTTTGTTTTCTCACTCCACTGCCTGGTAAATAAGTACGGGAGGCATAGGCATCACAGGCTCTGTGGGGAGTCTGCCAGAGTGGGCCGAAGACCCCCACGGTGCTGCAGCCCCCAACAAAACCTGGCCACCTACATCTGAGCTGATGGCTCTGACACCCCAGGAGTTTCAAAAGTATCTTGGGAGCAGCTGAAACAGTAACTTGCTATAAAGGGAGCTGTTGTTACCACAATGCGATGCAGGCAGTTTCATTTACCATCCCAGCGTGCTCCCATTATAGTGAAATCCCCACTGTTTTCAGAGGGAACAGGGTTGGGTCTCAAAGCATCTTTAAAGTTACAACTTTCCGCCTAGACTTCGTATCATCCCAGTTCCCCGCTCCACAGTTGGACAATGAATGAATTTTGCAGACTAAGATTCACCCCCTCCCACCTCATGCCAAACCTTAGGAACTGGGCCAGCATGTCTAATCAGATGAGACAGACAAAGTGCAGGAGAAAAGAAGTGCCATTATCTCCATTTCACAGATAGGAAAACTGAGGCATATAGTCACTGGTTCACCCAAGGACATACAGGAACTGGGAATTAAACTCAGCTCTTCTGAGTCCCAGTCTGTTGCCTTAACCACAAGCTCAGCGATCCTCTTTTTTTGGCATTAAACAGTCAACATTAATACAGGTTAAATGTTGTCATTCGCATTGAACAATGACAACAACAAACTCCCAATTCCCCCAAGATTAGATTTCTGTAATATAGACCATTATTATTACTATTTTTTCTCATCCAAACTAAAGAAAAGAGAAGCAAAGCTGCAATGTGTGTTCCTTTAACATATGTAAGACACACACCAAATACTCAGAGGGCCATGTACCCCCAGGCGCCCTAGTGCTAGGGATTATTGCATTTGCTGTTTTTAAGAACGGAGTGAATCTATTGCATTTACCTTGTTTCATGTGTCAGTTATTTGCATTCCCACCCTCTGCTATAAAAAAAAAATCTTATCCATCTCTCCAGCGTTTAGTCAGCCCTAGCACAGATTAGATCACCCTTGTTTTCACTCTCGCCCATTCAGAGCATGGAGTAGTTTCACTGGTAACTTTGCAGCCTGAGATGAAACTGAGACATTTTAAGGGAAATATCCTTATTTGGGACAGTGTCTGCTTTAAATTATGACCCTTGTCTCCTTTCTGACTCCTCTCCTGGTTGTTCGCTGGGTCCTAGCAACCACAGTGTTAAGAAGTAAATTAGCTACTCTGGGACTCATCCTGGAATGCTTACTTGGGGAAAGCACATATTGAGAAATACAGGGGTTTTGACTGAGCAAGGCTTTCAGGTTTGGGCCCCGTGTTTGCCCAGAGAAATATTTGACTTCTCTTTGTAGATGTCATTGCTTGACTCTGTGTATGGATCAGTCAGTATGTTTACTTTAGGGTTTTGTGTCTCTGAGTTACATTCCTAAAGAGCTGTAAAGGAGCCACAGAGCGTGTGATAGGCCACCTCAAAGTCCCTGAATCACTATCTTACCAAATAAATGGAGATGTCAGGGTTATAAATGAAAAGATACAGTACTGATGCAAGTGAAACCCTTGATCCTGGAACCCTTACTCACTGGAGTAATCCTTCCTCACACGAATCGGCTTATTGATTGATTTGTCCAGAGGGCCCCGATATCACTCTGAAGTAAATGGGAGTTCATTGTTGGCTAGGACACACCTTAGATGACTTATTGGTGTAGATTTAAATGGGACTACTCATGTGAGTAAGGGTGACTAAAGATTGCTGGGGTGGGCCCTGCTGCATCTAGACACACGGTTTGATTTCTGTGGCCGCTTATTGTGCCGCCTGCCTGACCTTCGAGTAAATATTTTCATTTCAAAAGAAGATTTTACATCTAACATTAAGATATGATGGTGATTTCAGATTTACCGCAAGTTAATTTATATATGGATTATTTCATTCTGCCCCCTAGGGTTGGACCAATACTTGTCTTCCAGGTGCCTTTTCCTACTTAAATCCCACTTCTGCAAATTCCTTCCTATGCTAATTTCACCGTTGTGGTCTCCAAAAACTCACGTCTGAATGTTACTCTATATTTTTCCTGTGGTGAAAGGGCTTCCTTTGGAGTAGGACTTTTGGTGTTTTGTTTGTTTTTTGTAAGGCACCCTGAGAAGGAAAGGCATAAGCACCAAAGAGAGGAGAGGGATTATTTAGTGTGGCACGCAGGGGTATGATTAGGAATAATGAACAGAGAAAGAGAAAATCACGTCTAACTGGAAAACTTCCTATCCGTGAGATGTATTCCGCTGTGGAAACAACTCCCCAGAGAAGCGGTGTGAGCCTCACTCCATGTGACTTTTAGCACTAGACTGGAAAAGAGACTAGAAAACGGGCTATCAGGAATGATTAGGGCTGCTTGGGAAAATATTTTTTTCCTGTGAAAAAGTTTACAAAAAATGAATATTTCTCATTTTCATAGAATCAGAGAAGATTAGGGTTGGAAGAGACCTCAGGAGATCATCTAGTCCAACCCCCTGCTCAAAGCAGGACCAACCCCATCTAAATCATCCCTTTATGATTTATCCCATCATCATCAAATTAAAATTGTACAGGTATTTGTTGAAAAACACCAAACACAGATTTTATTTAGTGTTTTGCAAATAAAAAAATGGGAGGGGGGGTTGAGAAAAACCTGAAATTATTTTACAGAAACAGAATTTCTTTTCATGAAAGCTTCCCTTTTGTCGAAAAGTCATTTTTGCCCTTCCAAAAAAAAAGTTTTAAAGCAAAGTTTTTAACCAGCTCTTGGAATGATCCTGGAAGGTGGACTAATGGAGCTTTCCCAACGCAAACTGCAGTGAACTGCCTGGTGTGTGAATTCCACCATTGGCACATAAGATAAGACAATGCTCTGAGCAAGTGAAAATTCACATTGCCCGCACACTGGATGTAGCAGGATTCGACTGTCTCGCTTGTAAGAAATTTGGATTCATAATCAGAGGTGAACCAACCATTGTGGGAAAGACTCTGAAATCTGCTCAGCGATTTGCCTGTTCCTAGAACGGATCTCAAACCAAACTGTTTTAAAGATTCCGAAACATTTCAGTAACCTCCCTCTGCCATTATTTTTGTGAATATTTGCTCTTCTGGAATTTGGTTGCAATGACACTTAGCAATTGATATCTTTAAAGTGCTGTAGAGACATTAGCAAGTTATATCTCGAGGATCCCAGTAATGTAAGGTAAATATTAGCCTCATTTTACAGATTGGGAAACTGAGGCAGCGAGATCAAGTGCTCACTCCCATGAAGGGCTGAGAGCCCTCAAATCCCGATGAAGTCAATTGAAGTTGAGAGCACCTTTGACCTTGTGAAATCGGGTTCTACGTGATTATCCCAAGGCCACAGCACAAATCACTGCCTACTGCAGCTGTCAGTGAACTCAACTGGGTTTTGCCAGTGACGTCAGTGGGAGCAGAATCAGGCATGTGGTGTCAGTGCTGGGGTTAGAACTCAGCAGTTCATCGCTCAGAGTTGTGTATTCAGATACTCCTTTCTTTCAAAGGCCATTCTCATGGTCTTCTCCCAGCATGACCCGGAGTAGGAAGTAGCAGAAATCCCAGAAGCTGGTTCTCATGAGACTTCCAGTGATCTGTTGCACATCTCCAAGGGTTTTGGAGAAACATTAATACTTCTGGGTGGTTATGTGAATCAAACCTCCAGCTCTCTGGAGTTTGTCCATCACTGGTTTAATTGCTCTCTAATGCAGCACCCTCGGCAGTCCTTTCTGTGCAGGGTCTGTCTGTAGATGGTTGGGTTCTGCTCAGAGCTGGACAGAGTGGTATCAGACCCTAATGGTGGTCAGAATGGTATCAGACCCTCTCTTTCATGAACAACAAATAGATCTGAAGATTCTATTCCTTTGGGTCACTTTCAGTTCAAGTACCAGGAACATTACCTTAGAGACGTGAAAAAACTGTCTGTCTGTCAAGAAATGATTCTCCAAGGGGAGAATCAAGGGGGGAGTGAACCACAGACCCGTTAGCCTTGTTCTCTGCCCCAGCACTGGACTAATCTCCCATGGGAAGCTCTGGATTTGTGTCCATTTATTCTTTTGCGGAGGGACTGTCCGGTTTGGCCAATGTACATGGCAGAGGGGCATTGCTGGCACATGACGGGTACCCGGAAA